CATTTTGACAAAAGAAATATGATGTTTTGGCAAAGCAGAACATGGGGCAAAGTGAAGCTTTTTCAGGTGTTAGTGCACACACACTCTTCAGGAAGTATGGATACCACCCATGAGACAGATATTAATGAAAAAAATGTCATTGGATTTTCCTTTAGTATGCTAATAGTAGCTCTTAATATACCATTTTATATTCTCCATTAACAGTTTATTTGGTTTTAGATATTCTTGAGTCAATGTATTTTAAGCTTTTCTGCTTATTTGATGGAAATCTAAATTTGACTGTTGCTGGTCTTATTTACACTATTATTAATTAAAGACTCAATGTATTTTTTTAAGTGACTGCTGGCTTTTCTCTGGAGAGAGATTTTGCAGTGGTCATCTAGATCTTTTTTGGCTAAAACTTTAGTATACTAAAACTCAAACATCTCACCTTTTATGTAACATTTGTAAATTAAATACCAGTATTGCATCATGCACTATTCCATGTAATAGGCACATAAGTGGACTTTGATGCCTAAGTATGATTCTAACTCACCCTGCACAGGTCCCTGAACAATTATTAATACAAAAGGTAGGTGACTCCTCCTACTCTTCTCTGCTTTTTTGTCACTTGGTCATAAGAAAAATATGATGGTGTATTAATTGATTTTCAGGTATTTGAATAGGGTGGCATAGAGTCATACTTAGGTACTTAAGTCCATTTAGACAGCCAATATATGGAATGGTATCTGACCGACAATGTCCACATTTTTAATACCTGCTAGCTGATCCTGAAAACTAACATCAGAGAGTTCTGTTGACTGCTGAGGACCCCTCACTGGTTTTTCTATCATCTACAGGATTGAGGCCTTGTATTGTCCTCCTTCTAATAGTGTAACTGTATTTTTCTCATCTTTTTGCTTCTCTCTGTGTCCCGTTGGTTGTCCCTCACTATTTTCTTCTCCCATGTGTGTCTTAGTTCTTTTGTCTTCATTGTTTATATACCTCTTATTTCTACACATCTAACCTGTTTTGTTCTCAAGGGTACAGACTGGCCTTACAGATGGAGAATAGCATCCCTGCTTCATTTTGTAGTGCCTATTATCTTCAGTGAAACTACATTACAGTAATAATGGAATCAGACTTCTTATCCATATTGCATGGATTAGTTAAGCTTTTCAGATATTTGGTTTGGTTTAGTTAAGATTGTATATGCATGTATGCAGGTATAGACATGTATATATGCATAATCCATATTAAACTAGACTCTGAATTATGTGTCTCATGACTGAAAGTATTTAAATACTTATTTAAATGCTTCTTTTAAATATTTTAATGTGATACCTTTGAACTGAGCATATTAACTGCATTTATGGATAGTTACCACTAGTAAATATTTGCATTTCTTAAAGTATTAGTTTAAAAAATAATTAAAGGAAGATTGTTAAAAATAGCCAAGGAAGCCATGTATTTAGTTGGTGAAACTGAAAACAAACTAATTTGCTGCTGAAGGATACCCAGTTGTCCTAGGTTTTGGGTGTCATCCCTCTCTCATCAGTTCACATCAAGCTTGTGTAGTGCTGCTCCTGCCTACACTGCTTCTGGGCATTGACACACTGGACGAGTACAGTGACTTTACCCTTTGGAACTAATACTTGGAAGTTATAACTTATTCATAGTGCATGACCTACAGTAATGGCTTTGCCCTACTGTACTGGCTCCCCCTGGGATTCTGGACTATACATTAACGCAATGAAAAATCACATCTATTTTTCTTCCTTTTCTCCTCTTATTCCTTCTCTTCAGGGTAGCTCTTCCTACGGCTTTGGGCAACCTTTTTTCCCCAGCTACTATCAGTAGTGACTCCTGATAGGGCCTCTGTAACTTCACCCTCTCAGAGTGGATACCTTCCTGACTCCGGGCCCATGACTCAGAAGGTTCCCCCGTGACAGGCTGAGCAGTGTCTCTCCTGAGGAGAGTTGGGTGACATTTTTAAAATAAAACATTTTTCAATAAAAAATGCAGATTGGATTACATTGAGATATCTTGGCTATTTGTGTCAGTGTTGAATATTGCTTGGAACTGAAGCTTTTTGTTCAGCTTTGGATGCCAAAACATTTCATTTGATCCCAAATTATTTTATTTTTACTTTTTAGTCTCTGTAAATTTTGAGAGAACACTTCATGAATTTTATCAAACTGACTTTTTAAACTTTTTTCAGAATTGCCAGTAAACCTTATAATCTATTATCCACTCATCTCTTTCCTGACTCACCCCTGCCAGCATCACAGGAATAGTTTTTTCTCTCAATTCACTCACTCCTCCCTTCTCCATCCCAGCCTTAAGCCATGTGTTCTTTGGTGTCCTCTTCATGGGCCAAGAAAAAGAAGATGCTGCTGGGTGAAGGACAGACATAACAGTCTGGATAAGGGAGGAGATATGTTGGTGAAGTAATTAATGAACGAATGACTGAAAGAGAATGCGTAACG